GTTTTATTCTGGGTTTCAAACAGCAGAGTGTCTGGTCATGACAGGCCTGGGCTGGGAGCACAGCAAAACCCCAGAGAGAACAGATTTCCTGTGGATGCCAGCTCCAAACAAAGGCAACAAAATTTCAAGAACTGAAAATTCCTATTCATCCTGATTTGAAATAAAAACATGCAATATCAATAAGTGAAATGTGCTTAATAGCAACAGGTTTATTCAGCAAGCTTATCCTAAGTGATTTTTTTCTCATTAAGTTGACTGGCAAATGTCTCCTTTTATTAATAATAAAGCTTATGTATTTTTTGCACCCCCCCCAAGCTCCAGCAGCTCATAATATGAATATATTTGGAAATAGGTATTTGCAGATACAATAGGTACGATGAGGTTATTGCAGAGTCATGGGACAGATTTCTCACAGCCCTCACAGGAAGCCTATTCTGCCAGTATAAAAACATGACTTCTAGCTTCTAGAATCATAATACATTTTTATTATTTAACTCATCTGGTTGTAATGCCTTGTCATGGAAGCCCAAGCAAACTGATGTAGTCTATATTCTGGAATAAATCATAATGTGGTTGATCAAAATAAAAGGTGATCAAGTCAGTGCCTGGCTACTGTCCTTTCTGAGGAAGGAGGCTAAAGACTTAGAGTCCTTGAGGTGTAAAGAAGGTGTAGTAATATATGGTGTTAGCAAGAGAACAACTAATGTGGTATTGCCATGAACAACCTCAGTTGATCAGTGCTTGCTACTTTACTTAGAAAAGTAAAATTCATCCCTTCTTAACATCTTAATATACAACTTATTTAGGGTGCAAAGTAAATCCAGGATGTGTATAATCACAACTTCATTTCTTTAGGTAAAAGTAAGATTTGTTCCAATTGAGCACATGGTTTGATATTCATAAATTCTCACTATTTTTTTGATCAAGGCTTTATGATTTTTAAGATTTTTAACATTAGCAAACTTTGTTTACCTCTACTGGTTACATTAAAATGAAGAATTAGAATAGAATCGACATAATTTTTGTGTTTCTCTTTTAATAGTTGAATTGCCACACAATGAACAGGACACAAATAATATCAGGAACAATGATAACCAATGAAGTGGGTTCAGTACCCAGTGCGTACAAGCCCTGCACGACAAACACAGACTCAGAATGACTGCAGGCCATGTGAAATGGACTTTGGACTTTTCTCTTTATTTTAAAGTGAGTTAGTATTGGTTTACATTCTTATTTGTGTTTTAGAGAGAGGCTCTCCTCTTCAGGTGTCACCATACCACACCCACTACCAAAGCACTGATATAGCTCATCCCCATAGTCCATTGTGCTGCTTCCCCACTTTGTTCTCAACCCTCCCCCTTCCATCCCTTCCCAGGTGACCTCACTTCTATAGTCAGCTTTCTAGAATTTGTGTTAGCTTGGATAATCTAACTCTCCAGTTTCTCTATATTCCACATATAAATGACACCATCAGGTGTTTGCACTTCTCTTTCTGACTTATATAACTCCAGTTCCATACACCCTGCTGCAAATGGCAATTTTATTGCTTTTGATGGCCTAGTGCTATTCCCTCATGCATATATAATGTATCTTCCTGACCCACTTGTCTGCATTTGGGCAGTTAGATCAATTTCATAGTTTGGCTACTGTAAATAGTGCAGCAATGAACATGGGAATGCAGGAATCTCTTTGAATTAATGTCCACTCGTAGGTATCTCTCAGAAGGATACAAAATCACTAAGCCTGTGTCTTTTCCTGGTCCTACCATCAAGAAATCTAAGGCTCTCATAAGCCATGTTCTCTCCACTGCTCCTCAAAGTTACAGTCATTCTGCCCTCATATACTTAGCAAAGCATTGAGACTGTTTTTTGTTATTTGCCTTCTCTTTGTAGACTTTCAATAAGTTACATAAATTTGATAGATTATAACTATCATTTTTTAGATATACTATCAACAAAATGAGAGGAAGAGGGCTTAGTAGCTTTCCCTTCATCATGTAGAGTGCCAGAGTTAACCATTCTGTTAAAGGTAGAAGTTTCATTACCTCCCAAAGCAGTGGTGCACACTGAAGATTATGCTATACACGTTGAAATGAGACAAATTCTTCTCATTTTCTCAATATTTCTGCCCAAGAAAAATGACTATCCTCGGGCAAAGACCAAGACACATGAAAATTGTGAACTGCAGAATTACAAAAGACCACTGAAAAATGAAAGGAATCTTTTTTTCTCATTTTCTAACAAGCAGTGGACCTCCAGCTGATTCCTTCCAGTGATAACAGTTAACTATTTCACAAAGCAGCCTACTCCATTTATGGGCTGCTGAGTGAGCAGCAGTCCATGTTTTCTCTATCTGTTTTCAGTCTTCAGCCACAGTTGTCTGGAAGGAACTGATAAGAAGGGAACAAAGCAGGTTGCCTCGGATGCATAGTTAGGTGGGTTTTGCTTTCCTAGTTGATTACTTAAATTCAAAAGGAAGTCAAAACCACACATTGAAAGAAAAATTACAGACACCAAATGTATTAAGTATTTGTATTTACCAAGCTCCTACTGTGTGCCCAGCATAATGCTAGGAAATTAAAGGTAGCAGAATTCAAAGATGTCATCATTCCCTCAATTAAAATATTATCCAACCATGATCAAACATATTCAAGTCCAAAACAACTTCAAAATTATTTAAATATATAGTACATATTTAAATCCAAAGTTGTTCATTTAGACTAAATTTTGCAAGAGTTCAAAGGGTAGTAATTAAAAATGGAAACTCTAAGAATTATCATGAAGTAGCTAAGTCATGGCTATATTTGGCAGACAACTGATATTAATATGTCATAGGGAATAGTAAATCACTGACAAGAATATGCTTATTTTATCACTTGTTGAGTATGATAAACATTAACAATTTAGCATTTCTGACAAAGCCATTTGTATGGTCCTATAAATGAAAGTACACTGAAGTTATGGTAAGTGTATAATATCTTTGACAATATATGTAGAGACCAAAGGAAAATTAGTGATTCCAAAACACAAAAAATAAATATATGTAGAGATTCTGTCATTATTTTTAAAAGTGAAGTTCACAGATGTGGGAAAAGAACACTAAAATATAATCAAGTGTAGAGACTGAAAAACAACACTGTATTGCAGGTTGATCTAAGAAAACCAAATTCTGCCTCTAAATTGGGGATTTTCCCAACTGATAGATTGAACAAGTAATGTGTCTATTCTCTTTCACAGAAGATACAGAATGTTACTAGACAAATTCCTTCTCCTTTCTTCAGTTCTATCTTTAATATCTCCATTATGTACAAATGAAAATCTCTCATTCAGCTGATTATAGTGTAATCTGGGCACCCTTTTTATATGTGCAAATGTCCTTCCCCCTCCTCCCAGAAGATCACAGAGTGTTCCCAGAGATGTACTTAGTCACCTGATTAATTACTGGACCTCTATGTAAATCACTGTCAAGAATAAGATGATCATTATATCACTTATTGAACTTGATAAATATTTACAGTTTAATGTATCAGACAAAGCCATTTGTATGCCCCTATAATATAAAGGAGAGTGCATTAAAGTTATGATAAATCTATAATAATCATAACCTTAAAATAATTTGGTAAATATAGAGAGTTCCCCAAGCAATTATAAAATGCTCTATGTTAATTTAGAAAGGAATTCCAAACAAAGCATTTAAAACCTAATAAGATGCCATTAAATGAAGGGAGACTGGGAGGGGGGTAAGCGGAAAAAAAAAACCCTAAGGCTTGAACTAGGAGAAATGATTCTCAGAGCTACTGACCCTTGCAAGATCCATGTTTTTCTTGAGTTTTTAGACGCAAAGCAGATTTCTAATTGAAGGTGATTATCTAGCTAGTACATCCCGAATTACATGTATTTCTTGTATTGAGTCACATCAACATCTAATTACATAGAGCATTTCTCAATCTGAAAGTCCATAGAAATGAGGAATCAATCTACTGACTATGGGGGGGGGGAGAAGATGCTCTGTAAACTATGAACCACCAAACAATTATCTTTAGTGGCAATGATCTGCTTCCTGGTCCTCACATAGATTTATAGACTAAACTGTGATGTCAATCACCTGGCAATAAATTTTACAAAGAAATTGCGGGAAAAAAGCACCTGGTTTGCTCTAGTTTTTCTGTGGTTTTTTGAACTCACATAAACTAAGCCTATTATTCCATAGAAATTCACACAGATGTAGTCATCATCACCATGACGGAGAAAGAGAACAGAAACGTACAGTTCTGAAAACTGAAAAGCAAATTCCTATACAACAGTTCTTAACACTGAAAGTTCAGTGCTTTAATGCAAAAATAGTTTGATCAAGGCAATAAAACAGTAACAAAATATGTATGCATGACACAAATGTAGCACTGTAAAATATAATTCCCATTAGTTAGGTTAATTAAGATTAACATACAAGTCACTGAAAACCCCCAAAGTAGACAAAAGATAATTTGCCAAGGAAATACACAAAAAGAGAGCAGCATTTGCTTTGAATCTTTCATGAACTAGATTGGAGGGAAGATTTTATTAATATTTAGTTGTCACCATTGATAATATATATCCTAACAGCTTACAAAGGTCAAAAGGTAATATGCACCCTTAGAGAAATTCTAGGGATGATGTGACGTGGTACATAGAAAAAACATTAAGTGCATCTAATCAGATGTATAATTAATGCTAGTAAACAGATATTTCCATACCCACATATTTGAGAGTGTTTCAAATTTTGCTTTATTTATATTAATGAAACAGCACTCAGCTTGGGAACCTAGGGTTGGCATTTTTCAATGACTTAGCAATGTATTTTTACCCCAAATAATAATCTGCATTCCTGGTCAAACATATGACAAGGAAACAATCATAGCAACATACTTACACTAATTTACACTGTAGAGAAATTGTATTCCTGTTGCCCAGACTGCAATTGTGTAACACTGATCATTGCTGAAAATGCATTCTCATTCTTACCTCCAGAGTCATGTTCACTGTACTAATGGCCACTTTTACTTCTCCATCTGACAGTTCCTTTAGATCCTTCAGCATTGTCTGTTCAATACTTAAACCTATGGATAAAAGAAAGAAATAATGTTATACTTGGGAAACATGTTCTTTTGGTAATGTCAAGAAATTTCTTAAAGAAGGTACCCTTTTATTCAATAGTTTCTCCTCTAATACTGCTTTTTTTAAGAAAAAATGTATCTATTAGGACAAAAATCACATTAATGACAATGTCTTCATCAGAAAGGATCCCACAGGAAAGAGAATTCACCCTTCGGGATGCAAAAGAAGAGCCTTTTTTTGTTTGTTTTTAAAGATTTATTTATTTGTGCGTACAGAACTGTGGTATAGGCCAGAGGCTCAGGGGCGGCAAGAGGCTTCACCAGAGACAGAGTTGGGAGCAGAACAGGCAGATCGATGAAGCACTGCTGAGGGGAGCAGTGGGCGGGTCATGTGGTCACCTCTGGGGCAGGCAGGAATCGAACTCATGCAGAAGTGGCTTTAGCTTGTCAGTGCTATGCTTTAACCCACTGCGCCACCAGGGAGGGCCCCAAGAAGAGTCTTTAATGTGAGCATATTTACAGAGATGTGGTTGGGAGTGAGAAAATGAATTTGAAAGATGGTGAGGCAGACAAGACAAGCAAAGGGAGAAACTTAGGAATCAGAGATAGGGAACTTTAAGGAAGAGCTGCCAAACACAACATTAAGTCGGGAAGGAGAAGGGGCAAAATAATATACCTCTCCTTCTCTCCACCCTCAAGCCATCATCTATGCTTCCCACTGAGCAAACCCAACCAGAAGCCAGTTATTTTCAGGGAAATCCAGACTATTAAATACTTGAAGGTCAGTACCTGGAAGCTCAGAGAAAATCTGGGTAGAAATAAAATGAGAGGAGGTGGGGAGTGAAGAAAACCTAGCATAACTGTGCAAACAAGACAAATAATATCAACACGGGGAAAATTTACTTGCAGGTGGCACTTAGGTGAGCCCATATAAGTTTATTTGAATGCACTTATAAGTGTGATCATCAAACCATCATAATTGGGCTGTTTCAATCACTATTGTAATCGGTTCTGCCAATAGGAGCTATGGATTTCTTTAATGATCAGATTAGTCCAAAATGACAGAACTATTTCAGATTTAGTCAACTGACCAATGAACTTCATAAAATCTATCATGAAATCCAGGAAATTCTTACCTAGGTTATTGTATTTGATGAGGTATAATTCTAAGGAAGAAGCCCAGTTAAGCACATATGTCCTTTCCAGATGTATGTTAAGATACCAAAGAGAGAGAATATTGTCAATCATGGGGAGATAGAAAAGTGCTATTTTTTTCTCTCACATGAAAATTGAAAGGCCTTTTTCATATTGCAGCATAAAATGATTTATAGAATACATTGGGACATTAAAAGTTTGGTCTGTCTTTGAAATGAATGACAAAATGCATTCTGTCATGCAGCTCTTACATTCATACATGTGCACATGGAATGGGTGTTGCCTGTGCAAATCAGACCACCACCCAAATTTCTTCAGACTTTCTCATCTCAGTGTGCTCCCACATACCATTCAATGTCATTTCTTTTCTTACAGGCTTTCTCTGGTCACCAAAGCTGCTCGGGGGGAATTAATAGCCTATTCCAGTGCTGTAACCTACAAGGAAATGTTTAACAAGCAACATAACCTGATTTGAAGTGTTTACCAATTTCTGTGGTGTCAATACTTGTATGGTGACTAACGTCAAGGCATCAATCAAACATCAGCCAACTCACAAAGCACCTCTGATTTTATTTTATTTATTTATTTTTTTGATGAAACACAGTATACTCTATCAGTGGTTCCTGAAAACACCTTCCAAATAAACTTTGCCTCAGGCTCAGGCTCTGGCTCTGGCTCTGGCTCTGGGAGATCTCCAGCTAAGAAAGAAAGCTATGCATCTTAAAGATATGTAAGTTTCAATCCTGACTGAGCCATAAGCTGTTTGTGTTATGATGGGAAAGAAAAGACACCATTTTTGCGCTTCTGTGGTCTCAACTGGAAAGTGGGGATCATAGTAACACACGATATACAATTATTGTGAGGACAGAAAAAGATCATCCAGGTAAAGATACACCATCAGAACCTTATATAGTATGTCAGGTACACAATGAATTATTATTATTATTGTAAACTCATCAATCCAGAAAATCTACTGTCTTGCTTAAGCCTAGATTTAGAAAACAATTTTAGCTGCTTAACCCTCCTCTCAACCCTCCTTAGCTGCTTATGAAATCCCATAATGTCAATGTACTTGACATTGCTGCTGCCATACTTTCAAAATAGAACCCACTCAGAACAGGATAATGATATATCTGTCGCATGCATTAGACAGGTGAATTCACCACACATCCTAACAGAAAGACCACAGAGGAAAAGCTATAGCACAGGCTGCCTGCTTCCAGATGACCAACATCATGTGCCTGAAATCTTCTGCTAGCACACACAATAGGGAAGAAAATGCAGGCACACTGGAATTTACCTTCTGGGGTTAGGCCACTCTGCATTTACTCCAGGAACAACTTGTTGGGGACAGAGTCACTCACCCTGAGCATTATATTGGGTCTCCTGCAAAATGTTGATTATGTCTTCTCTTGGAGGCAAGCTAGGAAATTTTTCTTCCAGGATAGACAGAATTTCCTCCTGCTTCTCTGAGACCTTCTCAGATTCCATGGTCATCCACTTGAAAAGGATACTACCTAAAAGGTATGAATAAAATAGCTTTAAATTTTCCAGCAAGCCAGGGGAGGAGCTAGAAAAATAGGTGTTTTCTGGACTCTGCATCTTTGCTTCCCTTTCGAGGATCTTCACTAAAGCAGAGGTCTCCACAGTGTTGGAGTAAAGAGGCAATTTTTAGAAAAACCATTTGATACCATCTACTCAGTTCCATTGTTCTTGTATTAAGCTCTACAACTTAACTTACTATATGGCATATTCTATAGCATAGCATTTATGAATAAAGGAACAAGATATGTAGCTTTTCCCACTGATATAGGTTGGTTACAAGTGATTTCAAAATGGAAATTAATGGTGCACTGCTTTAAAATAATAAATACTGCTTAATATTTCCCTTTAAGACACCACAGAGAGGGATGTGGACGTGTGAGTGTGTAAAATTATTAAAATTATGAGGGAGCTGTCAACATGCAAAACACTGAGTGGATTCAAAGCAAATTATCACTTAAATATCCAGTTGATAAACCAACTGGAGTCTGAATATACACTTCAGTATCACAATTTATGACATAAAACACAAAAGACAAAGAATTTTTCTACTCTTTGCTGAGGCAACGGTGGATCTGGATTTCATAGAATATGTCCAAATGTTTTGCTTCTGATAGACTGCTTATACCAAGAACAAGGAAAACGGTAGATAAAATACAAAACAAACAAATGTAAAATCTGTGAAGCATCTGAGTTACCCAGGCAACTCTTTAGTAATCAAGATTCTGGAGAGAAGGTTAAATGTAGAAAGGTAAACCCAACACGTGGTATTGCTTTTCCCTTCAGGGAAATCATGTAATTGTAAATTATAAGCTGTAGCCAATTTACTGAGGTTAGCAGACCTAAATGTAGTTTCACTGACATGGAAGTGTAAAAATTTGAGGTTAGGGCTCTCAAAAGAGAAGCCACCTTGATTAAATAGTCCAGGTTTTGAGATAGCAATGTTGGCATAGAAGTTGGAAAAGTAAGGTATGTAGGACAAATATGAACCATGGTTTAGATTTAAACATAGCATTTTGTTAAGATACAAGCATACCCAGTAATTGACATATTGATTATGGTTTCATTCACTACAAACACTTAGTTTGTACATTAATTTTGTATGTATCTCTTCTAATTGCCTTTGAAGTAGAAAAGTCATCTCTAAGCAAAGGCTTTCATCATCCATGCCATTCACTCCACACTTTTCATATATAACATTTGCCAATCAACAAAAAATTATCAGGCTTAAAGTAAATGTGACCAAATGAAAAGGTACTCCAGAGGAAAAGTCTCAGTAGAAAAAAAAGCAAATTAAGCCAGAAGGAATAAAAAGATTAGCTAGAGAAGTAAAACCTATAAATAAAATACTCAAATGAAATTTTAAAAGTATAAATAATTGAACTTTAAAACTCAAAATATGTTTACAATACGTTATATACACTGAGAGAAAGATGAGTAAATTGGAAAGTACAGAAAGGAAATATCCATACTGAAGCAGAGCTAGGAAAAGGGATGCGATATCAGAGTTGAGCCTAAAGGTCTAACATACATGCAACTAGGGGTCCCTGGGCAAGCTGAGAGAGAACTGGACTGAAACAATATTTGAACGTGTACTAGCCAATCAATTTTTAAAAAATAATGAAAGATAACACTCTTACATTCAAGATAAAGTGAGACTGGGGGCTTCCTGGATGTACTTGCTCGTTTCCCCTTGCACATAGTCTTGCAAACAAGAACATTAACAAATGCATATAAATCATAGCTTAATGATTAGCAGCAAAAGATTACTTACTCTATGCCCCGAGTAACTTCTTTGTTTTAGTCAACTGTCTAATCAGTCCAGTGACTCCAAAGTAGAAGCATTCCTGGCCCACGGACAGGACCTGTCAGCCCATGGTAGTTCCTGCATCTTGAGAAGAGCCCTGCACTTTACTCTGATCTTATCCTCGTTATAGCCTAAGATCTCTGCCTCTGGGTGGAATTTGTCCTCCATTTTCTGAACATGTGACACATCAAGAAGCATTTTTATCCTACTGCAAATGCACAAGGCTGCTCAATCCTTGGGAAAACATATCAATCCTAAATTTGTATGCACCAACAAGACAGCTTCTACATATATAAAGAGAAATTAATAAAGTTAGCTGAAAACAGTTTATGAGCAAAAGTGGAAAACCTTAATCTCTCAATAACCTAGGGATGAACAGGAAAAATACCTGTAAAGAGGCAGATTACATAAATAATGTTATCATATTTGACTTACTGGTAAAACATCAAATTGCCAAAAATGGCAGGAAAAGAAATTTCAAATCCAGATGGTTCTACATATATTAAAAAGTAAAGCCAAAGCCTAACACAGTTCTAAATACTTTAAAAATAAATATACTAATTTAATGCAATTTTTCCAAATAGAGACAATACTTTTCAGCTTAGTTTCTGAATCCAGCGTCATCTTGGTACTAATACCTTATAAGGATATTACAAGAAAGTAGAAGCCAATTGCTCTCATAAACACGGATGCCTAAAGGTCTTTAAAAACTATTACCAAATCAAATTAGTAATATGTAGTCACCAAGTAGGGATTTCCTAGGAGTTAAAAGACTACTTAACATTCAAAAATCAATCAATAAAATTTACCATTTAATAGAAAAAGTAAGTCATGACCATCTTAATAGATATGAAATAATAAAAACAATTTGATAAAATCCACTATTTAACCATTATATAAAATCTCTTTTTTAAAAAAACTACTTTCTTAATTTGATGAATAGGATTTTAAAAAACAAATAAAGAAAGTTAACACTATATTTACCTGTAAAGCACTGAAAGCCTTCCACCCCAAGTCAAGTATGAGACAAGGATGCCTGCTATGACTAGGTTCATTTAAAACTGCACTCTGAATCCCAGGCAGAGCAATACGACAAGCAAAAGAAGTAGTAGGCATAAGGTATGAGCATTACTATTCAGAGCCCTATTTATTGATAATTTATTTTTTATATCATTCTTCATTTTGTGCACTTTTTTAAAATGTTGTGTAATTCCTGGCTCCCTTCTAATGCTCTCATTTGTACGATTTTTTTTTTAAAGATTTATTTATTTATTCATACAGAACTGGGTACAGGCCAGAGATGTGGAGGGTGAGAGGATTCACCAGAGACAGAGTGGGGAGCAGAACAGGCAGATCGACGAAGTACACTGCTGAGGGGAGCAGCGGGCGGGTCAGGAGAGGTCTGCCACGCCATGTGGATCTCCTCCGGGGCAGGCGGGGATCGAACTCATGCGGAATTGGCCTAAGCTTCTTAGTGCTGTGCTTTAACCCGCTGCGCCACCAGGGAGGGCCTGTACGATTATTTTTAAGGTTTATTTATTTATGCATATAGAACTGGGGTACAGGCCAGAGGTGCAAGGGCGGTGAGAGGGTTCACCAGAGACAGAGTGGGGAGCAGAACATGCTGACTGATGAAGTATATTGCTGAGGGGAGCAGCAGGTAAGTCAGGAGAGGTCTGCCGCGCCATGTGGTTCACCTCCGGGGAGGGGATCCAACTCGTACTGAAGTGACTTTAGCTTCTGAGTGTTGTACTTTAACCGTCTGTGCCACCAGGGATGGCCATTTTGTGCATTTTTTCATCTCAGCTATAATCCCCCTTCAGAGCCCTATTTAAATGAGACCGAGAAGGCAGAGCTTCACATGCACACACAAATCAGCAAACCACAGGACCCACCATGCCTTGCAACTCTGGTGGGAAGCGATGCTGTTTCCCCTCCAGTGGAACAGATGAGTAGGTCCTCCAGGTTTTGTTTAAGATAATGTCAGCTTGTAGCTGGGAAAGTTTATGAGGGTCTTAACATTCTCCAATCTGCCCTCTCTTCTGTTGTTTGTCTTCAAATAAACCTACTTTATTGTTTGAAAAACTGATTGCTTTTGTTTGAGGTCACTAAAGTGAAAGGAAAGAAAGGGGAAAAAACTTTCTTCATAGATGTTTCTATGTAAAAACAACACAGAATCCACAAAATCAACAAATGAGCTTCAAATAGTAAATTGAGCCAAGTTTGCTAGATTAAGGCCCAATAATATAAACATTCCTGTATCTGTATAAACAATCAAAATTAGAAAATCAATTTTTAAAACTGTAATACCACTGAAATATAAAATAAGAATAAATTTCACAAAAATGTGTCTGATTTGCAGCAAATCAATAATCTAGTTGATTTAACTTGGGAACCTTAATGCAAGAAAGAGAACAGTAGTATTCAGAAATTATTTTAACAAGTAATACACTAAACAGTCTTGCAGAATAATTCAATGGAAGGAACCCTCTGTCACTGGCTTATGGTTAAATGTAATAACAGAAAGAAGATAATGGACTACATAAGTAGGGAAATATAACATAAAAAGTTGTTTTGTTACACAAAAAGGACTATTATCCAACTTTCTCCTAGGACCTCATCAATAGTAAAATTTTATAGTTCACATTAGAGAATCATTTAGCTAATATTGAGTTGAATACCACTATTAGGATATGCAGTAGACAAAGACCTTGCTTAGGAAAATTACACCTGTTTTTGGAGATGAGTTAGCACAATTTCTAGCAAATTCTGTATTACTAAAAAATTAATCCATATACATTTACCAAAAACTGTCCAGACTATTCTCAGACTAGGGCTGAGGGGGGAGGATAGGTGAGAGGGGAATGCTAAGCCACAAGCAACAAAGACAGAAATTAAGATAAAATAATAACAAATTTTTCATTCCAACAGAAAAAGTAATCAACAACATTGCTCTTTGTTTAAAAAAAAAAAAAAAGAAGAAGAAGAAGAAGAGAAGGTCCTTTTGCCAAAAGCAATCACAGTACATTAATATTAAACATGATCTAATGAAGACAGAAGTTGTTTGGGGGAAAATAGGCACCATTGTAGACATAGTTTGCATGAAAAATTCTTAGCAGAAAAGAAGGGATTTAAATCTTGTTCTTTGTCTCACCTGGGTTTATTTTT